CAATATGTAATAATTACTAAATTCAACCGAACTTGCTGCATTGTAGAATGTAAATACGTTTTTAATCTTCTCAAGGTAAAAAAAAAACACTAGTTATTGTCAACACTAGTTATTTAAAAAAAATAGTTTATATGTGAAATTCTCTACATGAAAAATTTTGATGTGTAGAGTACTACACATACTCCCTACAAAATCAGCATTCATGTGTTTCTGGATTTAAAATCGATTGAAGTTAAGATTTGCTTAATGTAAAAACTTTTAATGTAAAAGCTCGTTAATATGTAGCATAAGTATTTAATAGACTTCGGATTACGTAAATAATTCTGAATTTGTAGAACGAAGATTAAAAACTTATAGGACAAAACACTTTAGGTTGAATGTAATTCATGTGTATAAGTAGCAAAGATTTAGAATGTAAACAGTGCAATAATTGTGTCTTTAGTAGAGGCTCGATCTTGCAAGAGATGGTGCTGTAATATGTTAAATAAGAACAGATACGTCGATTGCTGCAAGCTAAACCGGCATCGACATTATCTCTCCTTTTGTTATCCTTTTTTTAATTTGCAAAGTCGCTACATATTTAATGCCGCAAATTCCTCATGATTTATGTAAAATTTTTGATATAATAATAAGATATCAATAAAATCTGATTTTTAAAAGAGTAAAAAAAGTTTTTAAAAAAGAATTGTACATATATATTGACAATTATTGATAACTCTGAAAATTATATGGTGTTTGTAAGATTTATCTAATTTTGGTTTCGATTTTGGTTTTGACCAAAATTAAATATAAACCGTTTTCGATTTCGATCAGAGGTAAAAAAAGGTGATTTCGGTATCGGACTCTAGAGTAAGACAGAACGATAATGCAAGAAACTGAATTTGGAGATAAAAAATCTGTATTATATTAATATCGATCAAATTTGGCCGTCGCTCTAGCATCTTTTTAAAAACTTAAACACATTCAAATATAAAACATGTATCGTTAAAAAACATAAACGTTATCACTAGCCCCGGAGTAGCCCATAGATGAAAAAATTCTATATTCTACCTTATATTTAAATAGAAATATACTTATAGATAAACTACCAGTAATTCTAAATTCTTTTAAATAAATAAACTGACTATATTCTTTTGTAGAAAATGTATATACAGTACTTCGAGAATCGACTATTGATTGTCGCCCGACTGTCGAATATGGGTCAAGAATCATTCTGACCTAAATACCCCAAAAGTCAACGTTTGCCCGCTTCGTCTTCACCACATTCCCGCAAAAGAGTAATCGTTAAACAACAACATCCTTTCTCTACCGTCTTTCAGGTATTCCGTGGATCTTCATTTCGCACCTCGCGAGTCAGGTATGATGTTAGCAGTCGTTCTTGGAGCAAGTCGAAAGCCTCCTTTTCCCTTTCCACGCGGTTCTCGGCAGACAGAGGAAAGAGGGGAATGTAACCGGGCGTCAGGAGGATTGATGGCGTCTAGATGCAAATGCAGTCGGTCTGGCACGCAAGCAACGTATCCACCTACCGACGCCTTATGCCAGTTAACGCCTTACAGCTTAATAATCTTGTTCTCTCCTTCTCTCTCTCTCTCTCTCTCTCTCTCCCTCTTTCTTTACCGGCCGTGTTCTTTATCACACTCTCGCGCTCTCGCGCGCCAGACTAAATTACTTTATTAACCCCCTTTTCCCGGGATCATTCTCCCAACCCTCCCGATCTCAGAGGACTAAAACGACCGGTCGGTCTTCACGCAGAAGCTATCCTGCACTTTGTTAAACACCGGTGTTATTAAATTTGTAATAACGTTTTGAGACGTCGCGAATATGAGTAATAAATAATTTATTTATGGTAATATAATGTAAAAAATAATGAATCTCAATAATAAACTTAAGCGTGCGACTCGTAAACAATGATAATATATTTAAAATAGAAATTCTTAGAAATATCGGATCCATTAAGGACATAATAAAATAAAATAATAAATGATAAAACATTGTTTATATAGTTATGTTAGGTCGAGAAAATAATAGAAATTAACATTATAAATCGATATTATAAATCTATGCTGTAACAGATTATAAAGTTTGTTCAATATTTTACTTACATTTAATAAATTAAAAACCTTTAATCGGTGCTAGTAGATTCTATATTCGAAAGAAAAATAGAGTACATGGTACAATTATAAAAAAAGTATGAAACGACTATTTTGTATGTAAAAGTTTTATATAAAGTGTTTCGATAACTACTTTCCTCTTAAATATCTTAGAATTTCTTTTAGAAGAAAATTTGTAAAATGAAAATTGCACGGACGGATTATTATAGGGCGATAATAATTTTTGTCCAAATAATTGCGTTTCGGAGATTTCAAGGTCAACTTTGTTTTTTTAAATGGAATTATATGGTTACTTTCGCATAATACGATTCCTCTAATTATTCTGCACATAAAAATATTATTAAACTAGAAATATAAAAAAATAATTGTTTATAAGATATTTTTTTATTTTATTCTAGCATATATTGATAAAAAATATTAAATATCTCATAATCTATCGAATAATGAGATCAATCAGTTGGTGACAAGAAAATACATAATTATTTTTAAAAACATGTAAGCAAAATAGATACTTTTTTAAAACAAGCAACTGTATTTTCTTTACATCAACTGATTCGTCTTATTATTTTGTTCATAAAAGTATTAAGATGTAATTATGAAAAAATTAATATATAGATTACGAGATATTTAAATATTTATGTATCAAAATAAGATGGAAAAGGTCTTGCAAACAATTATTTTTTTAATATCTCTATTTTAATACATTTATATGCAAAATAATTAAAGGAATTATATTATGTAAAAATATAATTACATAATTTTACATTAAAAAAATAAAGTTGTTCTTAAAATCTTTAAAGCACTTTCTTTGGACAATAAAAACTGTTATCGCCTTTTTTTTATATATACCGTACAATTTAATTTACACAATTTTTTTAAATTTTATAAATTTGAAGATGTTTAAGTGAAAACAGTTAGATAAAATAATTAAGTCACTTTATATATAGGATAAATGTAGAATAAGATAAGTAAAAAATAGATCAGTAGGACTCTTCATATTCAAAATACAAAAATATATAAATATAGGGCATATAAGAGTCAAAGAATAATAAAATAAAAAATAACATATATCTATTTTAAAAAATTAATAATAATACAATTAAACAATATTAGAGGCCTGCTACATATTTCGGCTTTATATTAAGCCTTCTTCAGATATAAAAATAATATTAATAAGTTTTATATGTAGAATTAATGTACGTAGCATAAACCATTTTATTGTTATTGCTACTATAAAATATAGGTATAAACAGCTTATTCAATTATATACATTAACTCTATTAAACATCTGTGTAGTTGTTACTTTTATAGTTGCTACTACATATAATATTACTTCTTCTTTATGGATATTATTGTAACTATAAAATTATTTACTCAACTGTACATTAATTCTGTATACATATATTCATCATTTGCTACAATAATACAAAAGTAAAGATTTCCAAAAAATATATTTTCATTGTTTTGGATTGTTAAAATTTTAGTATTAAACATAAATAGAAATGAGCGTACAGCCACAACGCAAGATGTCATTTGCAAAGTCATTTAAAAAAGAGAAAAGTAAACGTTTCGGTCAAGTTTTGACCATCATCAGTGCGTAAAAATTAATTGTATAAAGCATGCGCAATATAAAATAATAATAATCGTTGAATATTAACAATAAAATTGTCAAAATTCACGGTGTATGATCTTAACACATACAGCTTAACGGTTTATAGTATTAATTTTTGAAATGTAATTTTGGTGTAATAATGATTTCAGAGGAAACATGTTCTTTTACAGTATATTCTTTCTGTTTTTCTTTATATTTATGATTTTTTTTTCTGTAAGCATCTAAAAATGACAGTTTTTTAGTTACTTGAGTTATTGTTGCAGCAAATAAGTGATATCTGTATATCTAACTTGTATCGTTGTCACTTTTATAGTTGTTATTATGTTTCTGTCTAAGTTTAATATACTTTTAACGGTCGGATATTAAGAAGAATTTTGGAACAAACGTTACAAATATAAACGCAAATGGTTGAGCATTGGGCGCTCGCGTGTCGCCTCGGTCCTCCTGTAGAGTTAATCGCACTTTAAAGAGGCGAGATGTGCGGATGCAGAATTCGGCTGACCCGAAATGGATATCGTCGGCGTGTTACCTCCTCACCTGGAAACTGGTGGTACTTGCCAGGTAGAAGGCGGCAGTCTCTTGGGTGCCAGGATATCGTTCCTAACGCTAATGACGTCGTTGACTCTCACTTAACAAGAGACTACCCTCTAAATGGGGGCTTGCGTCCTGGAAGCGGCCCGGCGGCGCTCACCAAGCTGGTGATTACGAAACTCGGATTCACTTCTGAATTCCATTCGTCGTGTAAGTGCCGCGTACGAAGTCCGTTTTGTGTTCGCGTTACGCTATTCTGTCACAACGGTAAATAACGGTTAATCAAGTTAACATAGTTCGCATTCTCGTTATCAAGAGAGTATGACAAAATATACCAATATTATGACAAACGACGAGTATTATACTATAATGACATTAGAAGTCCTCAGTGATACTTTCGGACGGAATTGGGATAACGGAGAGACGAAGGAAGTGATTGATTATTTATCATAGCCATTCCAGTTGCGGGATTCTCTAAACGTTTTTTCGATAATTATTGTTATCGTTAACTAGCGACAGCCAATGAGAGTCGCGCTTTCTTTTAGGATTGTCCTGCCATTGGCTGTCGCTATAGTTAACGATAGCGACAATCATCGATAAAACATTTAGATAATTCCACTACAGTATTGATACTTTTAAACAATGTTTAAATCAACGCATCACCGCATTTTTTATGCACACTATATTTATGTTGAAAATTGATGCCGCATGTTTTCGCTTTGCAACAACACACGCCATGCCACGCAATGGAACGCAACACAACGCAACAAAAGGTACATGAATTGCTAGCCATTTGTACCAGGACAAGGCCACGATGGCATGATGCACAAAGGTGTTAGCTGGGACGACCCAGGTGTAATTTCAATTTAATTGCATGTTATTTCGGGCGTGCGTACGCGTACGCGCGAGAGGGTAATCACTTAATGTAATCGTAGGACAGAGTCCCCGAAATCATTATGAAATTCATATGAAATCCCAATGTATAATCCCGATAATTACACGCGCAACCACAAAAAATCATTGTATTAATATTCGATAAAATTGTTTATTTCACCAAATGACTTCATATGTATAGTGAAACAAATTATTTGCAACAAGATGAAATTGCGTGAAAGCAAATGAAATCATGTAATCTGTAGGACAAATATTTCAGCTAGTGGTTAACCTCTCGCGTACGCGTAAGGTAGGACAAGGACTTATTAAACACCTTCGGGCTGCATTTCGCTGCCTCGCTGATGAGCTCACTCGTTTCGCTTCGCCTGGCCGGCGTGTTTCCATGAGATCAGGAAGGATCATGAAAGACCGGCGAGGGTACTTGGGTGCTCCTTTTAGAAATCTCAATCTTCTTATGGTGGTATATCAAAACTTGGCGATAATCGAACAATTTAATTCCGCACACGATTTTTTTCTTCGGGATTTTACTGAATTCTCGGAAGTTGAACCCTCCATCTCAATTCCCGAAGTGAATTGTGCAAAATGTGTGACGTACATACGTGCATCTACAATAGCAATCGATTCTTGGAATCATTTTGTTAGAGATATGTTGGGTGATCCAGACTAGCCGCAAGATTAGTGTGGTTAGTTTCTTGTGACTGGATCACCTTGTATAGAGGAAGTGAGAGGGTATGGAATAATATTTTGTCTTATTGAAATAATACAGTGTAGATATTTCTTTATGTGATCTAATTACTTTGTATCTAATAACTTCTACCTATACAATCTATACAAACATAAATAGAACGTAACTTACAAACAACTAAAAAGGGAAAAAGGTGCGATTATAGAATAGAGAGAAAGATGTGAAATATTATCAGCTTATATATAATATAACTGTGTATATGTTGGATACATATATTTTATTACCAAATTTAGTTCAATTACACCATGTGAAAGTCACATTCAAGGTCCTCAGGTGGTCTTCAGACGGAAGTTACAAAATAATATATTGACATACTTTTCAAAATTACGTAAAGAATATATATATATATATTCTTAAGTATATTCGATAATATATATATCGTTAAGCTGCATTTCAGTTTTGCACCTAGTGCAAAAAAATATATATTGCAGATATATATATATATATATATATCTGTAAAACTGTCCACTAGGTGCAAAACTGAAATGCAGCTTAACGACACGTTAAACATTAATGAACGCAGTGGCCATATGTTATAATATCTAAAAAGACTGCGCAAGAAAGTGATCTTAACGATTACTCCACTAAAATGCAGCGCAAATTACAAAATATTGTGATATTCTATAATCCTTTACTTATTTTATAATCGTCTCTATATAGGGTTTTTTCCTCTGTATGGCAACTGTTAAATTGCATATCTTCTTAAAATTTTGAAGAATTTGGTGCAGAAATAGTGACTCTGAAATAGTTATCTTAATTTGGAAAGTCGATCTCCTTGAAAAAGAATATGAATTCATATAATTAAAATAATCTTACAAATGAGGTAGGTTGGGTATTAATTATTATTTGTGAGATCTGTTTTCGCTCTCAGCTTTTCATTCGTTGCCTTTGATCGAACTCTTCCGGTAAAGGATTATGTTATCGCTCTTCGCGACTGGCGAAAAACCAGTTCCGCCGATATATACACCATGCACACGCATACACACTCATTTTCTCTCTTGCTCGCCTTCTCCTCTCCTCTCCTCTCCTCTCTCTCTCTCTCTCTCTCTCCTTCCCTTTTTTTTCTTCTCTTTTTCGTTCTTTCGTCTCTCGTGCATTTCCCTCGCTTGTTTTCCCGGCAAATAAGACGTTCGCATAAAGGAGAGTTGCCACGAAGGGTCGCGTGCGTCGTTAGAGACCAGTAACGTATCATCATGCGATTACACCGCGCTAAAAACGTGCCACGTCAACGCGTATTAAACGCACACAGCCGTGAGCGATCGCGCACACCGACGCGAAATCATCTGTAAAAACGCCTCGTTCGCCAGTAAATTGATTGCGGCCCCGACGGTCCAGAATTTCGCGCGATCTTTGCCGACCATGCCGGACGATGATGCTCTTCGTCATTGATCGTGCTGGCCGCACCTCAAGAGAGAAAATTTTTCAGTCTTGTTAATCCACATCCACGGAACGTTTATTAAGTCTTGTTAGTACTTTCCCGTTACTGCAGGTGGATGCTTATCGAAAAAACTGTAGATTTAAATAATTAAAGGTTAAAATTTCCTGTGACAGAATCAAGAAGAATAATGTAACTAATTGTAATAAAGTAATCAACAGTATTTGCAAAATAATTTACTCATCCAGAACAGATGTGAGTAGAAATGATCGAATCGCTTTTCTTTATATTTTAAACCATTATTAGTAGAAAATTTTATTTGACGCAGAATCTAAATTTACATGATGTTGATTTCAATCTTAGTAATTCTCAAAGTAAAACAATTTCAAGAACTTGATAGTTTGAGAACATTCGAGTATTTTATAATAATAAATTTTATGTAATAATCCACAATTATTCACAAATTGTATTAAACAAATATTAATATTGTAATATAAATTTAATAACACAAATTAATAATACAATACAAATACAATAATATAAATTTCTGATGTTGTTTTAACAAATACAAGTCTAAGAAATATTTGTTTACATATTAGACGCAGGTATAATATTATGTTTGATCGATGTATCGAGATAATTAGAACTCGGAGGATGCTTCTATAGAACGCGTTTCAATTTGAATCAACTTAATTATATACGACATAAATCGCCAGTGTTGTAAATCGTTAAATGGCTTATTAGCTATTCAGTTGAGTATTAAAGGCGCATTTTAAAAAGCAGCAGAATCGCGACATTGAAAGTAAAAGAATGGATAGACTACGGCGTAAACAGAGTGGAACGCCCGAGAAAACGGCCGCTAATTGGATCACTATCATTGGAATCGCAAACAAGAATCGTGTTTGAGGAAGTGTATGTCGTTTATTAAATTGGCGATCAAAAGTAGTGTATCATTTATTAAAATGACGTCACTCGTCGTTAACGTATTTATTGCGTTTGATAATAAAAGACTAATATGCGAAGGGCATATTAAACATGTCAGACTAAATATTAAGAAATCATTGTTTTATTAAATAAATTATCTGAATAATGTATATGTGATTTTTATTCCGATTTGAAATCCTATAATATTTGAACGCGTTTTAAAGATTTTAATAGGTGCAGTACAGATCTGATGTAAACTATTTATTTAATATATAGTTCGAAAAGATTACTATAAATGTTAAAGCTTAAAAAAATTAAATTTATACTATGGAGTATAGTACAGTGTTTTAATTATATATAATAGAATTATTTTTATGTCAATAATATGGTTTAGTTGAGTTTGATTCATTTATATTATTTATAATAATAGATTACTTTAAATTTCAAGAAATCAATTGTTGAGAAATTATTCATGCTGAATACAATTATTGAGCTATAAGTAACTTGTTTATTAATTGCTCTTTATATAATTATTTTTATTTTTCCTTTATTTTCTTTTAATATGAAATAAAGAAAGAGTGACAGACAGAGAGAGGGAGCAAGCTAATTTATCGGAGCAGAACAAAATGTTTCGTGAATCATTAATTTTAATATAAGAACTATGTTAAAATAAAATAAGAAGTTATATAAAAAAACATAAAATTTATAATAAAAGCCAGATTGAAAGAATTAAGAGAACAGAGAAAGACAACACTCGAAGTTTCGATGTCTGACTTAAATTTCAAACACGATTAATAGTACTCCGAAATATAGAAAAACACAACAATAGCATAGCATTTTCTTTTATGTATAAAAGATATTTTAGATTTGTATTCTTATGAGGACATAAAAAGAAAAAATTTGCATTAAATAAATATTAAGATTTAAGTTAAATATATTATATGTATACTTTCATAATATATATGTATTATACGAAGATATTAAACAATAACATAAGATTAAAACAACTAATAATCTCTATAAACTTTTCTATCGAAAAGTCGTCTCCAAAATTTAGAGTGGTTTAAAGCTAATATAAGTGATACAAATATATGATAATTTCTTGGAAAGTAATCATCAGAAGAAAAGCTATAAAGGTTCATATATGATATCTATATGACAACCTTTAATAAGATCATCTTTAGAATTCAACACACAGATACTTTGTCTAGTTTCCCATTGCTGTAGCCACAAAATGTTGATAGTGTAATCATAAAGTTAGACGATATAACCTTCGATAGAATTAATTTACGTAGCTCGGATTTTTTATCGTACGACGAACGTTGCGAGTCGACCTCGACGAAATCACGTGGATATAACCCGCGCACGTTTTCTTTCTTTCTTGACGTTCGGTCGAAATGTATTTACGCGGTTGCACTCGAGGCCGTAAGTCTGTAGTCTCGGCCGGCCAGGCACGAGAGTTATTATCGGGCGCGGTTATCAAAGTTGATAGATGATAGCGGGCGGCGCGCTAAATAATTTATGAGGGAACGAGTTAAACAATTTTCACGTCCGGTTTGATCGGCGGATCGCGTCGTCTTAATCTATTTTCGTTGCGTTCGCCTCGCAGCGGAATTGTGTATTTCCTCTTTAACGAGGGAAGCGGCTGTCTCTCGGCGTAACGCACTCGGCGCATAATGAACCTGACACGACGATAATGAGTCGACTAATTTTCATGATATGAGCGAGACGCGCTTCGGCTCGGCGATGGATCTTCTCCCCGTGGTCGGGAGAGAATTTTTACATAATTACAATCTTTTCTCTTTTGCATAATTATACAACTTGACGCAATGAGAAACGTCCGAAATTATACATAAATCTTCCGTCGTCCGGTTTTGTAAACAGAAATAAATCAAGCTTTAAAAAACATACATCG